TGATTCTGAAAGGGACGTTACAGCCATCACAGTTGGTAGGTTCAATAAAGGTTTTAAGTATCACACATGCTTGTACATGCACTGCTAGAGTTCATACTCATAACTCACTTTAAATATGAATTCAACCAAATCAAGTGTCACTTAATCTTTATCTACTCTCCCAATACACACTTCCCTCAGTCCACTGAGATTGATGGCATGAGCTACCTCACCACTGATACTAAGAGGACCACCTAAAAATAAAAGGACACTTAATTCGGCACAATTTTTGAGCAACTTTAAAAATTATTAAAGAACCAAATTTGATCGGAATAAGCTCAAACTTTGTACACAATATAAAAACATGCATATGCATTGGGAAAAAATATAAAAATAGAGAATTCCCTCTTTGTAATTTTTTGGCTACATACCCTGTACTAAAGTACTGGGACAAGAGCCTGAGGATGCATGAGGACTACGCCAATATCCTGTGGAAAACCATCATAAAATGGCAGATCAAATTAAGCAAAATTCAGGCACAATGTCTAAACATTGTTTGACTGTAATTCAGGCTCCGCATGCACACGTTACAAAATGAACAAATCAAAAACAAACAAAACCATACCTTGACAAACTTCAAAAAATCTAAAAAAAAGAAAAAACTAATCTCACCTTTAGCCTGTACATCTGCAGGAATCTTACTCACTTCCAGTAAAAGATTTCCGTTACAATTAATACAATTAGCCTCTTCAGTAATTTCTATACCACTAGGTCTTCTTCTACAATGTATAAACATGTTACAACATTTTATAAACTATGATACGTACCACAAAAATTTCTAGGATGAGTTTTAGCTTTAAAACTTTAGTTTCTGAGTAGTATGTATTTGCTGGACAGAAAATCCGCCATTTTTAATTACTGCACTTTACACCACGCCTACACGCCCAAGAGTTGGAACATAGACCAGTCCTGATACAGGCCTGAATCATTACTGATGATCGAGCCTGGACCGAGGATTTGGGGCAATGTCCTGATCCGATATTGACGAATCAGCCACGATTTATGCTGGTGCCAGACCTGATCCGACAACGATAACGATATTCATTAAGCCTCATTATGACGTACTTCCTGTTATGCTTAATTAATACTTAATTATTATTCATTATTAATTTAAAATGATTTGGAATTATTATTAAAACCAAAAAAAGATTATAATTGTTTTCTTCATCATAGTCTATCAATGTTCCACAAGTAAGACACTTCATGTTTTGTAACTTAAGACACCTAAAGAGCCATAAATTAAGAAGGCACTAAAATAATAAACTTACATTACTGAGAAATTAATTTCCCAAAATCTCCAACATTAATGAACTCTGGGGTTCCATGTAGTGAAGCAGATCTTTCAAAGGTATCTTGTAACACATAGTCCTACAAAGCTTAGATCCATAACATAACTATAATGAGGCATAAATTCTACATAAGCAAAGGAACTACATACCTTCCTTAACCAGCATGATGAAGGCAGGTTCACAAAAAAATTCAATGCTATTTCAAGTGAACTATAATGACAAATGATGATAATAAATTAAAACACTATGATTAAACTGACCTTAAAAAGAGCTTTAAACAAGAAAGTTTCAGTTCATCACAACCTGAATAATGAATTTAGCTTTTCACATGAAATTAAACAAACCTAAGATATTCTTGTCTTGAAACTTAGTGAGATAAGGTAACTATACAATGTATACTAGTGGCCTTGCTAAATTAATAAATTAATATGAATTAAAGGAGCACCTACTATACTAATATTTCCAGAATAATCTTCCGTATCAAGAATTCTAAGGAAAAGTAACAATAATACACATAATCAATAAACTATTTTACCACACTTGTGACTATCATTCATAAGTCTCTCAGTACAATATCTTCATCATCATGATCACTAATACATTCACCCTAATTAAAAACATAGTTACAATCACATGTAGTGAACCATTTTTACGCCTGATTTCTCATCGTCTTCACTAGTGTCATGATTATTGCAGAAAGGTCTTCTGGCTCTGTTTCAATGTTTGGCTCAATACTAGAAAGTTAACGGAGAATCCATAATGAAAGGTATGTACTTCTAATTATAGTCAATTAAACTGAAGTCATTAATCTCACAATAACAGGTCCAGAAATGAGGGGTCACGTAGTACAATATTCCGGGTTATTTTCCGTATACTATTATTCATTTTATACAGGGCACTCAATGGGCTTTAAAATGTAGGAGCCCTCATCTCTCTCTAGGAAGAGAAATATCCAGGTCCCTGGTTTTGTAGCTATTCTCAATCATTATACCTGTGTTTCTAGTGAGTATCATCCGGATTGGAGAAACTTTGTGCGAAACATTTACCGTTTGATTGTGGGGTATTTGCACTCCGCCATTTTACCATTCCTTTGTGTATAAAAATTACTCCTCAATGAAAATTTTTAAGTTTTTGAATATTTATAACAAAAATATAACAAAGTTTTGACAAAGTCCCGGGTTATTTTGAGATTGTACAAGATTTTTACTGTCCAATAGTACAAAAAAAGGAAGTAAATA